TCACAGCCTTAGGAAGGTTGAGAACCTCTGCTCTAGGCCACTACAATGTGGACGGAATCATCCCCTTCCTCTTACATATTTTTGCAAGAAGCCCAGCATCTCAACTGTCACCTTGGCTTAAGTACCTAGAGAATACTGTCCTTACTCTCTGGCCCAAACAGTAAGTCGGAGGCTGTAATCCAATGCTCATGGTGGAATAAGCAAGGCTTTCCTCGTAGTAGAGATCAATAATGAATTAGAAAGTAAGGTATAAAGCAGAGAGCAAAGTCAATAAGCCATATGCTCACTGTTGGATGATTGACACAGACTTTAACTGATTCTTGCTCTAAGTCACAGGATGTCAATACACCTTCATGCCTTGTAAGCCTGCAGTCAAATCACACCCACTGTATTTGATCCTGCTATCTCTTCTCCTCTGCCCCAACCTCTTTCCACTCTAATTGTTGTAGGTAATTGCATCTTCTAATAGTATAAGGGCAACTATAAAATGCTGTCTTTAATATATATAACAAATTTCATCATCTTCATCTCTCATGGATGATTTTTAGTTTCAAAGTTTTAAGAAGGCTCAGAAATATTATTTTAAAGAATAAATTTATGCCTGATGTTTGGGGTGTTTAGTAAATAGCCTGTAACACAAAGAGTTACAGGCAACTAAGTGTGGTTTTATGCCTCCAGAAGTGTATTCTTCTTCTCTGGAAAGTGTCAGCTTCTGGGTGGAAAAGGGTGAAGCATGGGTCCAGAGTTCCATTTCTCTCAGGAACTTCAGTCTCCGGGTGGGGGACGATGAAACATGGAATAAGATCGGTGTCACAGGATAGCTGGTCTAGCCAGAGAAGCTGGAGAAAAGATTTTCTCCACAGCAAAGGGAGTTAAGTTTCTTTTAGTCAAACAGCCGCGTTAGCAGAAGAGGGTGTGGGTGAACTCAGGAAATGACTGGAAGGAAAGTTCCTGGGCTGAGCCAAGTAGTGGGAACCCAGGGCTCCAAGACCAGTCAGGCGTTGGCAAGGTGTGAAAGACTGTGGTAGCAGCCCACACTGACTCTCCGGTGATGAACGGCACAAGCTTACAGTGGCCAGGCAAGCTCTGGCAGTGACCATGGCAGTTCTGCAGTGATGCCTAGCTGGGGGTCAAGTCTAGGGGTCTAGTGATGAATTCTTCAGAGAGAAGGGGGCCCTTCTTCTCCCAGTGTTACATCCCAGAATAAACAGCCAGTCTCTTCAGGGAAATAGATGATGTTCGCCGGTTTATTTCATATGAAATGGGGACTTATAAACCTTGGGCCTGGGGAGGGGCTTTGAAGATGAATGTGATTGATTGGCTGGAGCTAGGATGCTGGCGGTGCTCTGTTTGCGTGGGGAAGGATAACCTGGGACAGCTTAAGGGACTGGCCACCTGCAGTCACCTTGGGGTTGTGTCACATGCTCCTGAGGCGGGCATGGAAACAAGGAGAGAGCGTTGGCCCACACCTTCCGTTCTCAGGATGAGATTTTAAGTCTCACGTGTTGAAATTTCCGGGGTATGCATATGTTCCAACTTGCAAGTTCCATGTCAATTCCCCTGGAGGTACGGTCCATGAGCTCCATTCTAAGAAGTGTTGGGAATGGGAGAAATAGTCTTCCCTGGGGAAGAGAGCACCAAATGCTTATCAAATAGCAAATGGTCAGTCCTGAAAGCATGCATATGAGTAACATTATTCAGGTTTATACATATGTATATATATGGTTAATCTGTATAAACATATATATATATATGTACATTATTAATTAATGAAAAAGAGGAGCAAGGAATATATTCAAGGGTTCAGAGGGAGGGAGGAAAAAGAGGGGAGGGGGGATGAAGTAAGTATAATTTTAAAAAGTGAACTCAGGTGAAAAACGTTTGAAAAGGAAAGACCAAGGAAGAAAGAAGGGGAGAAACAGGACCAACATTGAAGAGGAAGTACTGTTCAGCAACCAGGGGGGTGGTGTAAGGTGGGAAGCTAAGGAGGCAGGTAAGGGAGGGCAGCAGAGAGGTACAGAAAGATTAAAAACAAAAACGAAAACAAAACAAAAAACTGGATCAGGTTTCCCTGTATTTTCCTAGGGCCCCACTCAAATATTTACTATGTAAACTAGAAAGGCTTTTAACTCCCAAGTTAAAATAAAAATAAAACAGATAAAGGGTCATTTATGAAACATGTTTGTTTCAAGAGTTTACTGGGTTACTTATTTTTCTTGTAGCTCTGACAAAAATTCCCAACAGAAGCAAGTTAAGGGAGGATTCGTTTTTCTTTGGAGTCGTAGTTTTAGGAGATTGTGGTTCAGCTTGGTGTATGTCTGATGAAGAGGAAGGCAGCTGGTTGGTCACATTTTGGTGGGTGGTCAGAAAGTAGGAGAAACGGGTTGGAAGCAGGGCCAAGGTCTAACCTTTAAAGCTCCATCCATGATGAGTCACCTCTGCCTCTCACCCCCAACACCTTCCCCTAACAATGCCACCAACAGGGGACATTCTGGAGTCAAACCATGATGCCATCTATTCTTGTCAAAGAGAAGGAAAAAATAGCATATAGAAACGATTCTCTTATCTCTTGGTAATAATATCCCCTCAAGACAACAGCTGGGGTAGGGAGAAGACATAGTACCGAAAGAACATGGCTGTTTCTGTGCGGCGTAGTTGAGCTGATGGCTTCACGGTGCTGGCATGCTAACTACTGACTGCTCAACTGAGGTCTCTTGAATACAGGAAGTAAATAAAATGGTTAAGTGTGTATGCCAAAGTAGTCTTGTTCTTTGCTGTTGATGCAATAATAAGCAAATCACCTCATTCCCCATTGGTACAGCCTCCTAGCCTGCTCCCTGTTGTCTGTTCATCTCAGTAAGTATGTTGCCTCTAGTCAGGAAAAAGGTGGCTCTTCTAGATTCTTTTTAGCACAACCTCCAATCTTAACTCTTCCAGAGCAAACACACACACTGGGCGCATTCAAAAATCGTGTGCCATTTCTTCAAGAACAGGATAGCCAGTGTTCTTCAACTCTCTCCCCCATAAAGCTCCAGCCATGTATTTTCCTTTATGTTATGAGAGTACCATAAATTCCTTCATGTCTCTGACATTTTGGCCCACCCTTTCCCTTCTGCACATTTACATAAACAGTCTTGCTTTCACCCTTAGCTCTCAGCTTAAATGTGTCCTAAGAGACCTCCATTGACCACTTTATTAAATTTAAACCCTCTTTTTTATTTAACGTCACTTGTCTAAAAGACAGAATTTTCCTTATTTTGCTCTCCCTTTCCCTTGTTCTTTCTTCAAAGCACTCGCTGTCATCCTTACTTCTGTACAAGTTGTGGTTTAATTGGGGAAAAAAGTTTTTCAGTGTATCAGAGATTAAATAATATGCGTAATTAATATAGGTCCTGGTAGAACACACACAGAGGCTCATGCACATCCACACACACTCACACATGCATATGGGGGGGTGTCTGGATAACTGGACGGGATCCTGAGGCACCATGGAGATAGTAACTGCAGATGTTTATAATCTCAGAACTAAGATCTGAGTCTTCGAGCCCGGCAGAGCTGGTACCTAGAACTCAGAATGGCTCTTGTCTCCTGATGATAACCCAGAAGGATCTGAGAGCTGGCCTTCTGGTTCTATGGAAGGGTGCTGCCTAGCTGGTGTGGGTATCTATGAAAGAGAGGGCTGATGCTGGAGGAAACTGGAAACTGCCAACAGCAGGTGACACTGGGGTCAATCTCAGGCTTGCACTTTGTACTGCAGAGAGGATGAGAAGGAGCAAGTTTCTTTTGACTTTTATTCCTCTCAAAACTTCTGGTTAGCAAAGCTCCGTAAAGATTTGCCTGGCAAGAGGAACAGTCTGCTGGGGACTCCGCCAAGTGTTTCAGAGCATCCTGTCAAAGTCTGTGTTTAGAGATGAGATATCACAGTTCATAATGAACATAGTATTTGTCTATTGTCATTTCATTCTGTGTCAAAAGTCTATAATTAGGATTTGTCTCTTTTCCTTCTTTTTTTCTCTCCTTTGCTTTCCTCCTTTCCACCTATTCTTTTTCCTTGCTTGCAACAATTACTCTCCACACCCCAACTGCCCAGCACAATAGCAAATATATATCTTATAAAAACTAGTTAGAAAACATTCAGAAAATATTCATTAGATAGATTTGGAATTAGTAAATTTATTAGTTTTTCTCAAAACTACTTAACAAAATGCAGAGTTCATTTTTTTTTCAATTAACCAAACATTTATTTCCTAATATGATGTCATTGGGGCTAAAAGTATGACTATGAACCAATTCCTTTCTACTTAGCTGCATTCGCATATTGCATTGGTGATGAAATGCACAGCAAACATTCATATCTTTAAATGCTCAGACAATTAAACAGGCAGCAAGATCTTCCAGATATTGAAAAACAATGCTGGTTTAAAATGATTCAGAGTAAACTGGGAGAGGTTATGATCTGAGGCAGGTTTGAGAGGACAGAAAAGGAGGACCATGGAATAGAGAGAGGTGTCTGGCAACCTTGAGATGTTTCTGATGCGAACAAAGAAGTGAGGGATTAGGAGAATAATTGGGAAAGAAAGCTGTAACTGAAAAAGGCACAAACCTCTGCAGTTTGGGTTTTGAGCTTTATGCCTCTTGCAAACAGGACATACACTACTTGCTGAAGGACTGATGTAAGTATCTAAACTGTGTCCTAGGCTGTGTCCTAGGCTGTTCATTGGGTGTAACTCAGAAGAGTGGGCTAGAAATGGAGTTCAGTGGCTGAGCGCTTACCTGGTATCTAAAAGGCATTGAGTTAGCTCCTCAGCACAGCAAAACAAAACAGGGAGAAGGATGACCTGCTAGGAGATTGTGCCAATAATGCTGAGCCTCAAAAGGTGATGAGGAAAAAATGAAGGACAGTTGTGAGAGTAAATATTTGAAAAGAAAAATTAATATGCTCTGCCACAGATTTAAGCCAAGGCAGAAGGGGTTTCTAGAATTTGTTTGCAGTGGTTCTTTTAGTGAGGGTTTATAAGGGTAGCAAAAGAAAAGAGACCACTGGTTCCATCAGAATAGCTTGGTCACAATGACATCCATCCAATCAGAAGCTTGGTAACAGTTTTTCCTCCAGCAATGAGTCTCAGTCCATTGAAAAGCTAGTAGGAGTCTGGGAGGATATATATGTCTTCCTCTTGAGGAGCGGGAGGAGGGCTAGGCTTCTGGAAATTATGATAGAGGGCGTCTGTTTGGTTACAGTAGACATGTTCCTCGAGGTTAGATGGCTGCGTGTTTTCATATAGCGCCTTGTCGGTTACCGCTTCGGTGTGCAGAGGACAGGAGACATTTTCGTAGTTGCCATTCGCCTTATTTCTCTTGGATGAAGACTTGGGGCCTTTGCTTTCCACTGAGATTTTAGGGCTTGAGCCAGTCACATGGGCACGCAAGCTAAGGGTTTTCACGCAGTCTTTCTGCCTGTTACTTCTCCTTTGCATAAACTTTGGTAAGATGATTGGTGTGGTTTCCCGGCGCTTCCAACGCCAAACACATCCAATTCCATAGACCAGCAAGACTATAAGGAGGGAAACGCTGACAACCACAGCCACTGAAGAGCTCACAAAACTTTTCAGCATTTCTGCATGAACGGTGGTGGTCAGCAGCTTGATGTGGCTAATGAATTCGCAGGCACAAGCAGGTGCTGTTTCTGATAGCCTGCTGTGGTTGGCAACCGAGTTTGAAGGCTCCCTTGGGCATTTCGTTTTTAGATCCAAAAGGACATAAGATGCATCTGGACCTGAGACTCAACAGATGTATAGATGAAGATATACACCAGGGCTGTATGGAGGGGATTTTATTCTTTTCCACTTCTTTTTCTCCTAGTGGATCACAAAACGGAGCAGAGATGATCAGAGAATAGCACAGTAGTGACCTCAAGGAGAAGGAGGTTGAGGAATCTGCTGTCCAGAAACCTGTTATAAATTAAAAATATATTAACTGTGAGATAAATCTACCAACTTTTCTAAATATCACTACACTGTCAATTCTTGCTTTTAATATTAAGTATAACATGAGCTATTTTGAAAAGAGAGGGAAGAATCTACCTCTGCCAAAGTCTGGCTACTTGAATTGTGTTTGACGATAAGGTTGATGCCTTTCAAGTGAAATATAAGGTTCTCCCAGCATTAGAGGAACAGGACAAAACTGTCCATGTTTGGATAGGCCATCGCTCCCTGCTTCTTTGTGAAGCTTTGCCATCCTTGGCTGTGCCAATTCCCTGGTCAGTTCACCCTCTACAGTCCACAGTAAGTAGTCCATTCTCTAGCAGAGTGTGGTACCCTAAAAGCAAGGTAACTGTGTTTTCCTACCTGGTCTAAAGTTGAGCAGGGACCAGCTCTTTCCATCTTTAGAGTCATAGAGAGAATCACAACACCTACCACAGAAAATGAACTCAGTCAGTATTTACTTGAATAACAGAGGACATTTTTAAGTGACTCCAAAATTCTGCAGCTAACTGCCTGACTGACACTTTAAGGTGGAAGATTTTAAAGGGCGCATAGATTATTCCTAGGTTTTAAGAGATCTTTTAAGTGAAGCAAAGTATCTTCGGAAATTTTTCATCATAAGTGTAGCAAACTATTTTCACTTAATTAAGGCGATGTTTGAAGTGTTCTGTTGAAATTTAAAGTATCGAGGAGAGAAATAGAAAGTATTCCACCAGGCAGAATTTTTCTACTGTGATTTTTATCAATGAAGCATTCTTACTATACATTTCAGGCTAGACACAGAAATAGATACAGCCAATATTTTCAATAATGGTTGTAGCACTTTTACCATTGTCTGTCGAATGTCATTATCAATCATATTTAATTGGGAACATATTTTAAACCACCTTCTAAATGCTTTCGGGTGGATTATCTCATTTAACCTCACAGCTCTCATGTGCGGGTCTTATTGTTATCCTCATCATATGGATGATAAAATGGAGGATTCCAGATGATAACTCCTTAACAACAAGTACGTTTAGTCTACTCATCAGCACTAGTACTGAGCATGGGCGCACCAGCAAATATACTAAATATCAGCTAATGGATGGAGTGATCCATTCACAGCCACGATAACAACAGTGAGCAGGGAAAAGAAAACCCACAAGTAGAGCCTCGCTGCTGCTGAGTGATCATTTCTAATGGTGAGGTCTTACAAAGTCATTCAAAGTCAGATTGTATCAATGCTCAAACATTCAATTTTATATAAACAAGTGGGATATGGCATGAGAATTTTTTTTAATAATATACTCTGTTTGATAACCATTAAGGGGCAAAAACAAATTTTACCGTCTACAGCTAGAGTGAGAAAGGTACCATACACAATGCAAGATATCATGATACAGGCATGAAAATGTTATCATAAAACTCATTAGTGTATACTAACTTAAAGATAAATAGAAGGTAAAGCTATAGGCTAAGGAATCTTCTCGCATTTGTGAGCGCAGATGTGCTGGAAATGGCTAAGCACAGGCATTTGGCTAATGACTTCTATAAATAGAGCTTCATTTCCTTTATGGGCTGATGAGAATGGGTCTTGATATTTTGTAGCCTAAGTGATTGCATTCATACTCTCAAGAATGTTTGAGATGCATTTCCAAAATAAAATTTAAATGTCAAGTGGAATGATGAGTTTTTAGGAAGAGGCCAGGCCTGTAAGAGATTGGAAGTGGGGGTTTCTACATGAGAAACTGCTGTTCCCTCAGAAGCTGAAAAGAAACAAGAAACTCCCTCCTAGCCTTCTGTAAGAATTTATTTTAGTTCTATGCAGAGCAGATATCCTTAATAAAAATATCATGTAAAGAACATTCACTGAGAAAAAGAATGGCCAAAGAAACACATCTTTTCCTTCTTTTCAAGCTAACTATATGGGAGGAAAATCTGTAAGATTAAAAAGAAAAACAGATAATGAGAAACATATTTCAAATAATAAACTGTCCTAGCATGACACTTCCATGAAGTTCACCTTGTCTCGTCTGGAAGCTCTTTTCAGTATGGAAAGCAGCAGCTTCTGCAAACTGACTAACCGTTATTCACTGGACTTCAGATCACAAAATCTTTACAGAGTGCGCCTTGCAAAGCAGACACTGCATTTCCATCAGGTAGCAGGAAGGCTCAGGTAACGGTCCTAGACACACCAACCTCACCCTCAACTTGCAAATTGCTTTCCCCGCTATGTCTAAGGCAAAATTATTCACTAAAACAAACAAACAAACAAACAAAAACCTGGTTTTGTCGTAACAAAATGACACTATTTGATTAAACATGAATTCATTTCTTACCTCTTTTCCTTACCAAAGCACTTTAAATGGGGCTCTGACTCACTTCAAGCCAGGAGTACCCGGTTCTGTCTTTCAGCCTTCATCAGACTTTGCTTCAGCTGAGAACTGTTCCTCTTTCATTCTGGTCAGTTACTTCCTTCTTTGTCTCCTTCTTTCAGGTTATTTAATTCTTGCAAAGTTTCCTGGTTCATGAGGAAGTTATTATCAGCCGCTGCAGAATTGTAAATGCCCCTCCCTTTTTGTAGGTAGAACTTCTTAAAGTGCATATTAAGCCAATACTAAGCCTGGGCGATTTTTCTCTCTTGAACCATATTTACAATGCTCAGGTTAGAATCAGTCACGTAGTCTGTTTTCTTCAAAGAGGTTTTAAAACTCATACTAACATAGGCCTTGAGTATTTTTGTTTATTTGCAAGCAAAAATGATTGGCAGAACAATCCTCATCTAAATATGAAACCAAAGTGGATACTCCCAAGTTGCAGCCATACCTGTTGAACTAATAACCAGAGTTTGCTTCAGAATGTGTTATTGTTGTTGTTGTTTTGTTATTGTTGTTGTTGACGATGTTAATTACATTCATTAAATAGAAGTTCCCCAAAGAATGTCCCGAGGCACACTTTTCTGGGACACAATATGCTAGTAGATTTTCTATCAGGTAAATTTGCGAAGTATCTTTCATTAGGTGTCTCACAGGCATGTCAGGACATTACAGATCAGCAGCAGCCCTGTAGGAGTAGTCAGTCCATTCCTTGCATCAGGTACAGTAAACCCTTAGTGTGATACTCGAGAAATCCTTAGAGGAGAGACATCACAACTAATCCTAGTTTATAGGCAGACAGAAGCACAGCAGTGAGATGTCCAGTCCCCAGTGCCGTTGCTCCAGTGCCTGGGAGCAGAGCCACTGTCTCTGCCACCTGATATGATGGACTGAATGCCATGTTTCTACACAGGGCATGCAGGAGGGAGGGTGGGAGAAGAAGAGAGAGGGTCCTATAACTGAGATGTAAATTGTATTAATAAAAAAGGAGAAGAAGAATCTGTGATATCATCCTTGAGAGTCAGCTTTATGGACTAAAAGCAAGAGAGAGAGAGAGAGAGAGAGAGAGAGAGAATTTCTAAATCTCACAGATAATCAGTGAGTTAAATAGATGATCTAGAAACAGTCACAGAAATATTGCTTTTTAGACTGTATCAGAACTCTTTCAGGCAAATGAGTTAACCTTGGGCAAACTACTTCAAAAGAAGGGGGCCAGGGATGTAGATTAGTGGTAGAGCACTTGGCTGGTGTGTGCAAGGTTCTGAGTTCAGTTCCCTGCACTGCAAAGAAAACAAACAAAACAAGCAACCCCCCTGGACTTCATCCTTGAAATGCTGGTGCTGGACATGCTGCACTCCCAACAGTGTGTATTGAGTCATTGCTCTGAGCTACAGGGATGCTACAGTGAATACACCTCCTGTAGCATCCAGGGATCAAGAGAAGATCATTTCAGACCTGAAAAGTAAGGCTGAGAAATACACAATTCTGGGGAACAGTGGGGAGCAGAAAACATGTGTGCAGCTCATGGTGGGCAGGAAATGGAGAACAGAACCGGGGGAGTCATGGTCTAGGAAAGACTTCACCAAGGCAAGAGAGATCCAGCCAACATCCCGCATGGGGCAGTGAATCTGTGAGCTGCATGTTGCACGAGCTCCACTCTCCTGGTGCACTGGAGAGCAGTAAGGTATTAGCTGCTCTCTGATATCACAGACGTACATGCACATGTGTGTGTAGGCGCACAAACATACACACACACACACACACACACACACATTTGTATAAATTTGTATCACTTCCTCTAAAAGTGGAACTAAGGCAAATAAACTTCCATTACTTTAGATCTATGTAGAACAAATAAATCAGAGACCTGTTACCTGGTACTTAACTTCAAGCGGGATTTATTTATTTATTTATTTATTTATTTATTTATTTATTTATTTATTTATTTATTTATTTATTTATTTATTTATTGTTCTGAGGTAATAGAATTCATCTTTAGGATTGAGGAAGAAATGGTGTTTGTGTCCAAAATTGAGTTGTTGTGTAATTGTTTTTATGGCATAGGTTTTGTTTTCAATTGTATTTTTGTTTGTTTGTTTTTTTTTACTTTAGTGTAGCAAAATACTTTCTGTTTTTCTTCCCAAACTCTTTTTGTCCTTTCACCACAACAGTTGTGTCTACATTTCTTTTGCTCATTTTCACTTTCTGCTTTGTTTTCTACCATTCTGTAGGTAGTAAAGAGCTTGGGAGGTAGTTTAGTGCTCTGCTATAATT